TTTATGGGTTTAAATCATTTAGTTTATTAATATTTTCATCAGTTCTGATGTCTGGTTGCAGGGAAAATGTTTCTGGTTGGAGGCTGAATTCATGGTGTGATTATTGATTATTGATTATTGATGTCTGGTTCAGCATGTTGTAGAAATCACTTTAATAAAAACCTAAAAACTAAACCAAATGTTTCATTTTCTTTGTTTCTAAAAATCACAATTTATCAAAAATGTACAAACTATTAAAGGAAAACATTGGTAAAACTAACTGTTAGCAGTGTGTGCGTGTTATTTTCCTAATTTACCACCAGAGGGCGCCGCCCAGCAGCAGCTGACAGGAAGTCAGAATATGAATATTATTGTAACCCAGATATGAGGAAACGACGGACTCTGATTGGTCGACGCTTCGTTTAACTTCATCAGCCTCGTTAGCACACTCAGATAATTCCCAGTAAGCCAATCAAAGCTGCCGCCCCACCGTGTGTGTGTGTGTGTGTGTGTGTGTGTGTGTGTTATTAGTGTCCAGCGCTGACTCAGCAGGATTTCTGTAATCCAACCATCTCACTTTTCACCCCTCCTCCTTTCCTCCTCTACCTCACTTTCTCAGATTTTCTCTTCTTCTGAGTCGTATTCCCTCCATCATCATCATCATCTCGCCCCTCCACCTGCTGATAACATTCAGCTGATTTAAACACACAGGAAGGTTCTGACCCAGAGCTCCACCTGCAGACCTGAACCTGGATCCTTTTTAACCTACCCAGTCTCTCGGTCCGTCCTGGTACAGTCCAGGTCCAGTCTCCGGGTTCATCCAGGTCTGTCCCAGTCCAGTCCATCCTGGTCCAGTCTCTGAGTCCATCCTGGTCCAGTCCAGGTCGTCCATCCTGGTCCATCCCGGTCCAGTCCATCCCGGTCCAGTCCATCCCGGTCCAGTCCAGCCTCAGACGTATCATCCCTGCTATAATCCGTTTATCCCTGTCAGGGTGACAGAGGAGACTCCTGCAGGAACCGCTGCTCCTCTCCTTCCTCCTCTCGTGTTTCTCCCGTTTTCTCCTCGTTTCTCCTCTCTGGGTTCCTCCAGGGGTCGGGGTGTTTAGGAGGCTCTGTGTGGGGGGGCGCCCCGCTGTTTCCATGGTGATGTGTTTGGAGGGCAGTCGGGGGATCTAGGCCGCATAACCCGGGATTATCAGCTGACAGGTAAGGAGATAACGGGCAGAGGGACCAACGTTATGGACAGATTCATGGTTATTCATCAAGCATGTTGGTTAGTCTGACTTGAGGGAACCGGTCAGTCTGACTTGAGGGAACCGGTCAGTCTGACCTGAGGGAACCGGTCAGTCTGACCTGAGGGAACTGGTCTGGTTAGTCTGACCTGAGGGAACCGGTCAGTCTGACCTGAGGGAACCGGTCCGGTTAGTCTGACCTGAAGGGAACTGGTCCAGATGTTCTGCTGCGTCTGGAAACCAGCAGATCCAGACAGGAAACTTAACCAGGTTGGAGTCAGACAGGAACAACTGCAGGGTAAAACATGACGGTCAAACCTCCATCAGAGCTTCCTGTGGAAATAATCTACTTTAAAAACGTCTAAATATTCAGATTTATTCATAAACCAACATATAATCTGTGATTTATGGGGTTTTAGCTGAAACTTGGACTTTGAGGACAGCAGGGATGAATCAGTTTATCATCAGAGGAAGCAGAGTTCAGATGGATCCAGGATTTATCTCTACATGAAGGAAATCATCTTTTAAATGATTTTAAACGTATTTCAGCCTCCAGGTGTTTCCTCGGCCTCCATGGCCCTCAGTGGCTCCACCAACCTGCTGGGTTCAACATGAACTCCATCATTTAGCTCCAGATGTTCAGATCCTTCCACCAACTCAAACCATCACGTTTCCCATCATGCGCCTCAGTTTGTCCCTCAGTCGGTGTCTGAATTCAACAATAAACCTAAAGCAATAATCATTAGGTAACATTAAAGTGCTATGCCAACATAGCATTTAGCAGAAGCTAATGAATGCTAAAGTGCTACCCACCATAGCATTTAGCAGAAGCTAATGCTAAAGTGCTACCCACCATAGCATTTAGCAGAAGCTAATGCTAAGGAGCCATACCATTCCATCAGGCAGAAGCTAACTCTACAGCGGTACATGGTAGTTAGCAGAGGCTAGTGGTAAGTGCTATCCCACCATAGCATTGAGGGCTATGTTACAGTTAGCCCTTTCAAAACTGAATTATCGTTTCACATCTTATCCTGAAAAACTAATTTAAGGGAAGTTAAAGTTTTCAAAGTTAGCAAAACATCTAAAGCCCTAAATGTAAAATTAACTGTGCTGCTAGCGCATTATCAGATTAACAGAGAGCCCACCCCTGGACTAGGCCGTTCCAGCCTGAGTCTGATCTGAAACATCCCATGAACATCTGAACCTCCAGCCCAGTCTCATCTGATTTATCTCCATCCTGATCTTCCAGCAGCTCTGATCAGCTTCTTCATCCCCACAGCATGATGCTGCCACCACCATGCCTCACTGTGCAGGTGGTTTGTTAGGCTGAACCAGAAAAAGCATGAGAAGACTTTGGCTCCAGTTTTCTGGAGGTTTGCTTCGTCTCCTGGGTGGGTTCTGGTGAACAGAACCTCTCATCTCATCATGTCTCTGATGGACGTCCAGGTTGTCCATCCTGCTGGTTCCGTCCAGATGGTCGGTCCAGCTGTTCCGTCCTCTTTCTATGTCCAGATGTTCGTTGATCAGAGGTTTGATGGTCAAAGCCTGGATGTTTTTATAGAACCAAACCCGGCGTTAAGCAGAACCAGAACCTCCTCCCTGACCTGCTGCTGGGTTCCTGTTCTCTGGAGAACCTCTGAAACCAGAACCAGCTGCTTAAACCAGAACCAGCTGCTGGAACCAGAACCAGCTGTCTGGACTGAGGCGACCTGAAACTGGTTCCGGTTCAAATTCACCAGAAAAACCAACATATTCTCTAAAAGCCACCAAAACCTGAATGTTAAAGTAGATTTTAACCAAGAGCAACGTTCCTCCCTCTCAGCAGACCAACTGTATCACCATGGCGACGGTAGCACCGCTAATCCCCAGCATCGTGCTGCAGGACATGGAGGAGTGGGCAGAGCCAGGTGATGTCACAGAGGGGCTCAGGTGAGTTTCTCTGAGTCCTGGGAGAAACACCAGGTCTGGTTGGCCCTCCAGGCCAGCAGGGGCCAGTATCGGGGCTGGACCCTGATGTGTAACTTTGTTTTCCAGAAGATCCCAAAGAGCTGGAGCTGGAGCTCTGTTCAATGTCAACAACAGCAACAACAACGAGGAAGAGGAGGAGTAAGAAATATTCATTTAGATACAATTCATCAAGAAGACACCAGGTCACTTGTAACTAATGATAATAATTTAATCTGCTTCTCAGGGAGGAGAAGAAGAGGAAAAAGAAAGAGAAGAAAGAGAAAAAGGAGAAAAGAGAGTAAGTCTGACTGCTTTTCATCAGGACGGTGATGACTGATGTGGATTTCATCAAAGTTCAGTTTCTGTCTTCTGGTTTCCTCAGGAAGGAAAAGCAGGAGAAAAAGGAAAGGAAGGAGCAGAAACAGAAGGAGAAGGAAGAGAAAGAGAAGGAGAAACAGAAAGAGAAGGAGAAGAGGGAGAAAGAGAAGAAGGCCAAGGAGGAGGCGTAGGTTTACCGGAGCCCTGAAACCATAAAACGATGCCTCATGATTCACAGGCTGATGTTTTCTGTCTGCAGGGCGAAAGAGATCACAGTGATCGATCCAGCTGGGAACACCTACTACCACTGGCTCTTCATCATCACCATCCCAGTCATGTACAACTGGACCCTGATCATAGCCAGGTACCAGATTATAGCCAGGTACCAGATCATAGCCAGGTACCAGACACAGCAGGGAAACGAGGTCTGTCAGCATCAGGTTCCTGTAGAGTCCAGCTGAACATGAGGTACCATCTGGTCCAGTTAGTCTGAGGCCGCAGCCAGAGTAGGGTGGAGTGGTGCCTTCAGATCAGGAATGACTCAATTGAAGGAGTTTCTCTTGCTCAAACTGAGAACTGAGACCAGCAGCTGTAATATGAGAGCAACACCAGTCTGCCATGGTGGAGCTGACAGGAAATACCAGCACCTACTTCATCATGGGGCAATGACTCGAGAAGAGTCAAAGGTTGATCTGCATCCTCTGTCTCGACTATGGTCATGAACCAAACCAAGGAACTGGCTGACAGAAGGAGAGTAGAGAAGTCATCAGCAGAAATTAGCTTCATCTAACAGGGAGGGTAGGCTTCATGCTCCCACATACTCAGGTGCATTTTCTGTGAGCCCCTTGGACTCTGTCCACGGACGGTTGAGATTTTATAGTCGAGCATACTGATTGCCCCCATGTCTCATGTCAAATTCCTTTATTTCCCACGATCTGAATGGATACTAGCAGGTTTGAAGACCAAGCTGGGGTCTGTCAGTCTCCAGGCATTATCAGATAAATCAACCTGAAGGACAGCAGATATTATCCTTAAAGTACCGGTATAGTCCTGCTGACCTTATTTTTGGGCTGCAGAAAGACTAGCTGTTCCCTCTTTGTCAGTTTGAGACCTGGGACAATGTATTAGATCACAGAATCATGTTTGTATAATAAGATTTGAACATAAATGCAGTTTGACAGACAGCCCAAGCCTTTGATTGCCTCTAGTCAAGGCCAGTCAGTGGATACCAGGTATACTCTACCACAGGGATGGTACATTCAAGCCCTACTTTTCATTGCCAGTCTTAGTTTCAGCTGTTAGAGATGGTCACAGCTGGACCGTCTCCGGGTCTAACTGTCATATTGAAGAAGTCGTACACTGTGTCTGTTTTCAGGGCTTGCTTTGAGGAGCTTCAGACCGACTACCTGATCATGTGGTTCATTGTGGACTTTATCTGTGACGTCATTTATATCATGGACATGGTTTTCAGAACCAGAACAGGTCTGAATGCACTCTAACTAATATAATCAAGCAATTGTTTTCACACCTGTGTACTAACGAAGCATACATGTGACCATAGGTTACCTGGAGCAGGGTTTACTGGTGAAAGACGAGCAGAAACTGCGTGAACGTTACATGAAAACCTTCCAGTTCAAACTGGATTTGGTCTCCATGATTCCCACTGACATCCTGTACCTCATTCTTGGTATCACCTACCCAGAGATCCGCCTCAACAAGCTTCTAAGGTTCAATAGGTAACCGAGACACTCTTACTTGTTCATCAACGCTTGAGTTTCTAGACACAAGTAGTGGGAAATGAATCCAAGCATAGACAAAATGCCAACCACCATATTCATGGAAACAGTCTTAACACTGGACGTCAGATTTATTATCTTAGAAAGCTCAGGTTTCAGTTGGGTCCATTGGTGTCTCCATTGGTGTTTCCATTGGACCCACGTTTTCAAATAATTCCCTTCAGCTAGCCATCATTCAGTCTCGAGATCGTTATAGGTACATTTTGTGATTATATTGCTGAAAAAATATAATCCATACACCTTCAGCTCCAAGGTTGGGACCACAGTGTGCCAGGCTTGAGTTTAGTCCATAATTTAGTCAGCCCTGTTTTACTCCAGTGGCAGGAGCTTCTAACTTCTGGATCTCTGAACCGGTTTCACTTCCTGTGCCTCCATTTCAGGATGATGGAGTTCTTCCAGCGCACTGAGACCAGAACCAATTACCCCAATGCTCTACGTATCTCCAACCTTGTCATGTACATTCTCATCATCATCCACTGGAATGCCTGCCTGTACTACTCCTTCTCCAAAGCCATCGGTAGGGCATGTTGGTTCCTCTGAAATAAACCCTATTTATTCTAACTCTACTTACCAATTTTTCCCTTCAGGTTTTGGTTCTGACAGGTTCGTGTATCCCGACCCGACGGACCCTGAGTTTGGCCGTCTGGTGAGGAAGTACGCCTACAGTATGTACTGGTCCACGCTAACGCTCACCACCATTGGAGAAACGCCGCCCCCTGTGGAGAACTCAGAGTACTTTTTTGTTGTGACGGACTTCCTGGTGGGTTATTCCTCAGAGAACCATAGGTTCTATTTGCCTTTATTCTTAGTTCTGTAATATTTACAACTTGGAAAGGAATTGGTGTGTGTCATGCTGAGTGACCGTGTCTTACTTCATAAAGATGGATGGATGTGAAAATGCACCTTCCCTGATAAAAGCATGAAGCTTTGTTGAAGCTTGTGTTTTCGGATGCGACAGAAATCCTAAGCTCTTATCAAAGCAATGTGAAGTCTAAAGACCTACCTGTCAGAAGTTATATAAATGGCTTGTTCCTGTCCTCCAGGTGGGTGTGCTGATTTTTGCCACCATTGTCGGTAACGTTGGCTCGATGATCACTAACATGAACGCTGCCAGAGCCGACTTCCAGGCCCGGATCGACGCCATCAAGCAGTACATGAGTTTCCGAAAGGTGCAGTTCCCTCTTTATGGGCTTCCCATTCCGTAAATCTATTCAAAGTTATTGTCTGCAAAGTCACTGGAGGAACTTGAAGCAACTGGTTTGGGAGATCTTCCAACATTTGTAAAGTTAATCAGCAAACATCTTTAAACATCTATACCTGTGAACCATAACTGCATTTCTTCTTGTCAAGGTAATGGACTTATTCTAAAACCTTTTCTTCTTCCTCTGTAGGTAACTAAAGACCTGGAAAAGCGAGTGATTAAGTGGTTTGACTTCCTGTGGACCAATAAGAAGGCTGTGGATGAGAGAGAGGTTCTGAAGTACCTTCCTGACAAGCTAAGGGCTGAGATCGCCATCAACGTACATCTGGACACCCTGAAGAAGGTCTGTTCCTGCTTCAAGTTCCTCCTCTTTAGACAGAAGGACACAGACCTTTGGTAAAGATTCCTCTGGTTGCTTCCGCAGGTCCGGATCTTTGCGGACTGCGAGGCTGGTCTGTTGGTGGAGCTGGTGCTGAAGCTGCAGCCGCAGGTCTTCAGTCCAGGAGACTACATCTGCAAGAAGGGTGATATCGGCAGGGAGATGTACATCATCAAGGAAGGGAAGCTGGCTGTGGTTGCTGATGATGGCATCACGCAGTTCGTTGTTCTAAGTGAAGGAAGTTACTTTGGGGAGATCAGTATCCTGGCTATCAAAGGTGAGAGGTCATGAAGGACTGGAGGTCTCTCCTACAGAACCATTAGAAACATTTCCTCTTGGTGTCAACAGGTAGTAAGGCAGGAAACAGAAGGACAGCTAACATCAGGAGCATCGGGTACTCCGACCTCTTCTGTCTTTCCAAAGACGACCTGATGGAGGCGCTGACAGAGTATCCTGATGCTAAAGCTCTGCTGGAGGAGAAGGGACGGCAGATTCTGATGAAGGATGGACTGTTGGATCTGGAGGTATGGCCACAGGATGCGGCTTAGGGCACGAGGCTACTAAAGTGTTCCTGAAAATAACATGTTCTCCATTGGTCCACTAGTTGGCAGCCCAGGGCCCAGACCCCAAAGAGATCGAGGAGAAGGTGGACAGGATGACGAGCAACCTGGACACGCTGCAGACCCAGTACGCCCGGCTGCTGGCAGAACACGATGCGACTCACAGCAAACTCAAACACCGAGTCACCCGGCTGGAGAAGAAGCTGGCGCCGCCACGGGAGGACGCACCTGGTGATGCTCCGCCCCCTCCCACACCTGAGACCACCAAAGAAGAAGAGAAGAAATAAGAAGATGGTGGAGGACAGAAGAACTTGAGTTTTAGTTTGAGGATAAAAGGACTTGAAGGAGACGAGAAATTAGATAAATCCATAAATTCAACAAGATTCAAATTAAAGTTAATAAATATGTAATTATGGATCCTTAGATTTAAAGTCCTCTGAGTTAACGACTGTACAGTATTAATGCCCCGGTGCTGGGGACTGCTGAGGAGCCCTGGGAACACGTCCTGTTGGAAAGGAGACTCAGTGGATCCTGAAGGACGCAGCAGTCCAGAGGGGAAGGTTTCACCTGCATGTAGTGTTTCTTCCTCATGTCTGAGAATAATTACAACATAAACTGTTGTAATTACTATGTAACATGTGAAACAGTACGTTGGCTGCTAGTTTGTCTGAACGTAGCGGAGAATCTTCACCCTGAGACCTGAATGCCAGTTGGTCTGAGGTTCATCCAGAACTGCCTGAGCGCTACAAACCCTCTAGATTTAATAACATAAATTCAACCAGCGTCCATTTTTCCAGGCATGCTTTAGTTTCCTGTTTATGGGCTGCAGACCAGAACCAGAGACTGGCATGTTCCTCCTGACCCAGGTGGATTCAGGACCAGGTCTTCTGGGCTTTAACTGATGCTTTTTAATGATGCAACATGTGATGAAGAAACTGTGCTGAAATAAATATATTTTATAAGAAAGTTAACACCCGCTTCTGTTCATTTCATATCCTGCTAAATACTATAGATTAAAAAAAAAACTACAAGCATGAGCATGGAAAACAACATTTAAATAAATCATTTTATGTTATGTGTTGTAATAATGACTGAAAACCCGATAAAATTTTACTGTAAAAATATTATTTAATATAACATTGTCTTCCCCAGCTTTCTGTGTCCTCCTTAGCGCCCCCTGGCGGCCCCAATTTGAAAAACACTAGACTAATGAAGTAGGTTCACTAACTTCCACCAGACGGAGAATCAGGGTGGACTTACTTTGCCAAATGAAGTTGGTTTTACTGAGGGAATCAGATTTATTCAGATTTATTTACCCAGCAGAGAAACACACATGCGCAGATACAGAGTGACACGTCACAGTTTGTGTCTTCACGCGCGAGTTTGGTAGAGTTATGGGAGATGTAGTTTCAGTCTAACCAGATGTCTATGAGGCACCACCCCATTAAGAACTACAAGGCCCAGCATGCCCCTGCAGGTCAGTGCGCATGCGCAGCGGTGAGCGGCGTCCAGCGGCTCCTCTCTGCTCTGCTGAGGTGAGTTTTCCTTCTTTCTGCGGCTCTTCTGTTTGTTTCTGAGCTCTGAGGCTGAAGCTGCTGCCGCCGCTGCTTCAGCTAACTGCGCTGTATGTGCTTAAGAGGCAGCTACCGCCGGGGTTCGGCTGGTTCCGACGGCTTTCACCCGAACCTCAGCGGCTGTTAGCTTGTCTCTGTTAGCCTGGCTGACAGGTAATGTGACTCTGCTGGTTTAAGCCGGTTCCGAGAGGAAACGGCCCGGTCCGGGACAGAGGTAGAACCCAGGCTGGTGGTGGGGTCCATGTGGAGCCGAACTGAGCCCAGTTTCAACTCCACACACACCTGGCGCATGCGCACTGGTCCAGTTAGCTGTAACTCCAGGTTTTTCTGTCTGTACAGTCAGAGCCTGGAGGCGTTGCCATGGAGCCGGCCTGGAGACAGCAGGGCAGGGGCCGGGGCCGGGGTCAGGAGGGTCAAGGTGAGAGGCCCCGCCCCCTGCAGAAGGATAGGCCAGGGGTCCCAGCAGGACGGGGAGAGAAGACAAACCCTGGACCTGCCAAAGGTGATGAAGATCTGGGAGCCCCGTGGGTCAGAACCGGTCCAGGACTGATCCAGGACATCAACTGTATCCCTCTCTATGCAGGTGAGTCGGTCCAGTCCAAGTTCGAGGAGATCCGGAGGTCCAACCAGGCCACAGCCCTGCGCCTGGTAGAGAGCCGGGTCAGCTCCTCTTCCTCCGATGAAGATAACGATGATGATGATGGAGACGGACAGAAAGGAAGGATCCTGGAGTCCACCTTTACCTCCTACACCAGCCAGACAGGTGAGCCCAGTTCTGCTCTGAGCGGGACCACCGTCTGGTTCAGGTTCTGACCCGTTCTCTCTCTGATCAGGCGGTGATGCTTCGGCTCTGACCAGAACCGGCCAGTACCTCAGCGACATGTTCCAGTCTGGAGCGCTCACCTGCCTGATCTGCATCGCCTCAGTCAAGAGGACGCAGCCGGTAGACACACACCTACACACACACTTAGGGTTTAGTCTTCTTGTCAGTCTGAACTCGGGGTTTAGTCCTCCTGTCAGTCTGAACTCAGGGTTTAGTCCTCCTGTCAGTCTGAACTCAGGGTTTTTCCACCTGTCCAGGTGTGGAGCTGCTCCGGCTGCTTCTCCCTCTTCCACCTGCCCTGCATCCAGAAGTGGGCCAGAGACTCGGTCTTCCTCATCTCCTCTGCCACCGATGAAGACTTTGGTCAGAAGCAGCATCCCTGGCCCTGGTGAGGAACACAGACTGCTACGTTCAGGCTGGTTCTACCGTTTCAGTCATCTGATTGTAACTCAGATCACCCTGTGGTGCGTTCACTGCCTGCAGGAATGTTCTAACTCTCCTCATCCTCTCCTCAGTCCAAAGTGCAGAACTGAATATCCTCCCAGCGCCACGCCCAACAGGTAGGTCTTTACTTTGACTGGTCCAGAGTCTGGCTCTGAGGTTCTGACCCGCTGGGCCCTCTTGTCTCCGTGTTGCGTTCAGGTACATGTGCTACTGCGGGAAGCTGCAGGACCCTCCAGCCGACCCCTGGCTGGTTCCTCACTCCTGCGGCTCCATCTGCCAGCAGGAGCTCAGACCCAGCTGTGGACACACCTGCCTGCTGCTCTGTCACCCTGGTAACCTCACACACCTGGATCTGATGCTGGTTACCGGCCAGAACCAGTCCTCAGTCAGCAGGCGCCATGGCAACCAGCCTAAACCTGTACCGTCTCTGCATGTCTCCAGGTCCATGTCCGCCATGTCCAAAGATGGTGTCCGTGTCCTGCTTGTGTGGCAAAGCTAAGCCCCTCCCCCGTCGCTGTAGCAACAAGGTAGCTGTCTGAAGGTGGTCGTGTCAGGCTCCTATGAGTCGTCAGTATGTTACCTGTTAGGCAAGGCGGCCATCTTGTTTCTGTCTCAGTTTTACATTGTTTTCTCTGTTTCCAGTCCTGGTCCTGCCAGCAGCAGTGTGGGAAGCTGCTGGCCTGTAAGCAGCACACCTGTACACAGCTCTGTCACACAGGTAAACACACACCTGTACCGTATCACACAGGTAAACACACACCTGTACCGTATCACACAGGTAAACACACACCTGTACCCGGTGGTGAAGAATATTGCGGCCCAAATCTTCCAGGTGTGAATAATAGCATTAGCATCAGCATGCTAACCCCTCTGGTTGGATGTTTTCCATATCAGTCCCTTTAATTTCAGGATTTTTCTGGATGGGAACAGTTTTGAGTCTTTTAAACCCATAATTGTCTTAAAATGTTCCCCATTTTCATGACATGGATGATCGTTGTGTCACATCAGATGTTTTCCACTTTGGTCATCCATTTCATACAACTATAAAGTAATAATATGCATCAGAATCAGAATCCAAGGACTCTGTTAGCTAGTTTCACCAGTCTGGAAGGACACTTAGCTTCTGCTAATATTTTTGTGTTTGTCAATATTGTAGCGGAGATTCTTGTTTAGCGGATTAGTGATCAGTGAACCTAACTTTTGGCTAGCTGACGATAAGTACTGCACATTTTAGATCCATTCTCTAATACAATCATGGCAGCCATCTTGACAAATGTCCACTAGAAAAAATGAACAAAAAAAATAAACACAAGATCAAGAAAATATATGATTTCTGTGGTTTGGCACCACACACAAGTAATTTTTCATGTTGGCCATGTTGAAAAATACAAAAATTATCAGAAAATTATATTTTTATGGGTCCAGTTTGCATATGACACCAGATGTATTCATTGTCAAATTCAACATGGCGGCCATGTTGAATTTTTCAGTGGCTCTGCTTCCAGTTAGATTCATGGATCAGCCTGTGAAACATTGTTGTGACCTCAGACTGACCTTCTGTGTGTGTGTGTGTCAGAGTGCCCCCCCTGTCCCAGGGTCAGCCTCCAGAGGTGTGTGTGTGGACGGCAGACAGCAGAGCGGCCCTGTGCCAGCCCCCGCTGGACCTGCCAGCAGGTATTGGTGCAGTACCAGTTCCAGCCACCAGGGGGAACCAGAGCTCTAACAGCTCATCCTCATAGGAACAAATAGACTAATTAACGCAGCTCTGACGCCCCCTTCTGTATAGAATCAGTATATATAAAAGGTCTGCTGGGTCCAGTTGACCCGATTGGACCTGGATTGGGTTTCTGACCCAGTGTTTGTGTGTCAGGTGTGTGGAGCGCATCTGTCCTGTGGGAACCACACCTGTGAGGAAGTGTGTCACGATGGAGCGTGTCCTCCATGTCCCCGCTCTGTCAGCAGATCCTGTCCCTGTGGGAAGACCAGTAAGAAACACGCACCGGGTTCTGCTGCGGTCCGGTTCTGGTTCTGGTGTTGAACTCATGTTTGTGTGTGTGTAGAGTCGTCTCTGCCGTGCACAGAGGAAGTGCCGCCCTGCGGCGACACGTGTGACCGCCGCCTGTCATGTCTGAAGCACACGTGTTCGATGCGATGCCACCGAGGGAGCTGCGAGACCTGCAGACAGGTCACACACACACACACACACACACACACGCACACACACACACACACACACACACACACACACACGTTGTACAGCAGCAGCAGTTGCAGTACCGCTGTCGTCCTGCAGGAGGTGGAGAAGGCGTGCCGCTGCGGGCGCCACAGGAAGCCGATGGCGTGCCATAAGGAGTATCTCTGTGACGCCAAGTGTCCTCAGACCAGGAACTGCCAGAGACACCAGTGCAGGAGGAAGGTCAGAGGTCGTCTTTAGCCCCTCACCTGATGACCAGGTAGCAGTCCGGTTTAAACTCACTTTCCCATGATGCTCTGTGTCTCAGTGTTGCCCTGGTAACTGCCCGCCCTGCGATCAGATCTGTGGTCGGACTCTGGGCTGCCGGAACCATAAGTGTCCCTCCGTCTGTCACCAAGGTAACGGCATCGATCAGTGATTATTTGATCAGCTGAAAAACTTCCAGGTAAATTTTCTTCGTCTGTGACTCAGAAACAGAAAATAACATTCAGAAGGGAAACTTCCTGTTTCACCTTTCCTGCACCTTTACCCTAACCAGGAGTATTTGGACCAGAACATGAACAGAACCAACCTTTGTTTTCTATAATAAATACATTTTTATTTCTCTCAAAAACTAAATTTCTGTTTTCCATTCAGAGTTCAGATTAAAGGCTTCGTTTCCACGGTAACTGGAGCTGGGTTCTGCTGCGGTTCTGTTGATCCGCTTTGACCTGTTTCTCCTGGTCTCTGTGACCTGATTTACCCGGTCCGATCCGGTCCCAGAGCCTCCAGAACCTCCTCTGGCTGTCGGGTCGGTTCTGGCTGCTCCGCTGAGCCTCAGCTGGAAGGCCACAGGTTGACCTCTGACCCCTGACACCTTCTGCAGCTCATTCAGCTGACATTTCCCCCGACTGATGAACACACACACTGATGAACACACACACTGATGAACACACACACTGATGAACACACACACTGAGCTGAAGCAGAGAGAGAGACTGAGTGTGTGTGTGTGTGTGTGTGTGTGTGTGTCTATGTGTGTGTGTCAGTCAGTGTGTGTGTCTATGTGTGTCAGTGTGTGTGTCTGTCAGTGTCTATGTGTGTGTGTCAGTCAGTGTGTGTGTGTGTGTGTGTGTGTCAGTCAGTGTGTGTGTGTCAGTCAGTGTGTGTGTCTGTGTGTGTGTCAGTCAGTGTGTGTGTCTGTGTGTGTGTGTGTCAGTCAGTGTGTGTGTCTATGTGTGTCAGTGTGTGTGTCTGTCAGTGTCTATGTGTGTGTGTCAGTCAGTGTGTGTGTCTGTGTGTGTGTCAGTCAGTGTGTGTGTCTGTGTGTGTGTGTGAGTCAGTGTGTGTGTCTGTGTGTG